AAAGGTCAGATGGTCCTTTGAACAAACCTGCAAGGGGACTTCGAGTTGGCAACCCAAGAGCTGGCTTAAAAATGACAGAGCATCACAAAGATCAAACAATGCTCATAAAATGAGTCAAACACAAAGGAAGGTCATTGGAAACAGAAATGCACACTGGTACCGGCCAAAAGAAATAACTTTCCTACCCTTTTTCTACTCTTCCCGTCTTCAGGAGTTCGTAGCTTCCTGGTCATGTTGTCCAGAGACTCTCTGCAGAAGTTGGGGGAGAAAAAGCAGCCCGGATGGCAGCGAGTGCTTATAAGTAGGTTCGTGAAGCCTGCTTCTGATTGGCTGGCGGGTGTGAGTGAGGTCAGTTGGGGGAAGAAGTTTATTGTGGGCCAAACCTTTTGCACTTTTGCTACATTACGGCTGCAATGGTCAGTGTGTTTTATTTAGGTTTTATGTGACTTTTATAAAATAAACAATAGATGATTTTCTAAATTTTCTAGAAATTTAAATGTAAAAAGTAATTTCAAACTCCCATTAAGTCAGTCCTTGGTGTAGAACTATTTTTGCTGTGATTATGTTTAAGTGTTTTTTGGTATAACTCTCTGGAGTTTACTCAGTTACATTTAATTGAGTAAGTTTTTGAAATATATATATATATATATATATATGTATATATATATATATATATATATATATATATATATATATATATATATATATATATATATATATATATATATATATATATATATATATATATATATAAAAGTTGTACTTTTCACTTTTACTTGAGTTTACTGTTACAACATGTTGTTACTCTTACTTGAGTGAAATTTCTGGATCATCTGCCCACTGTGAGTCATTGAATGAAAAACAACATCAACAAAATAAAAAATCACCAGACTAGAGCACACACCTGCAGTTTTTGAAAACTAAATACATTTTATGTAGAAAGAAACTGAAATTGTTGGAAAATGTTTCTTTTGCTTCACTTTGCTATTTTGTAATCATGTTATTATTTTCATTTTGGTCTTTAAAATATCAAAATTTCCACATAATTTTACACTTGGGTCCATCTGATGATGTAATTTTTAAACATTAAATGACCGACGTTTTGATCAGTACGTCAGTAGCCTCGTTACAAAATATTCTTTCTACTGTTGAGTAATTTCTTGGACGGCTATTTTTACTTTTACTTGTGTAAAATAATGTTGAAGTAGTGCTAGTCTTACTTCGGTATAATTTTTGGCGATGTTTCATGTCCCAGCCGATGTGTGGAGTTAGTTTGCTGCCACATAGCACAAAGTTTACGTTTGGTCTCAGATCTTTGCTGGTTCCGGTTTGTGGCAGGTTGCCTTCTTCTGTCGCTCTTTCTAAATCCTTCTACTAAATTACACTTGATTTTATTTATATTCAAATGCCTGCCACTCTTATCCATAAGCACCTGTGTGTCATTTTGCTTCATCTTCTCAGCTATGCAAAGAATTGCATGTTCTTTTGACATTAAATCTCAGTACAATACGTCGAGGTTTATTGTTGCAACGTGACACTAAAAACGCTAAAATGTTCCAGGGAGATGAACAATTTTGATGAACTCTGTAACTAAAGATGCCCAGACACGTACTTGCTTTTGCTTTTTTTTTTTAACTCAGTAGATGACTTTTACTTTCTGATGTACTGACCTGCTGATCGAAGGGAAGCGTCCCCACAGCATAAGGCTGCTGCTGCCGTGTTTCACCACAGGGAAGATAGAATTTGGTATGTAAGACACGAAAGTTAGCTGGATAGACAGATAGATAGCTAGATACTAGCTAGCTAGCTAAACAGTCAGAAGGAAAGAAAAAGACAAAAAGGAAAGAATTAAAGAAAAATAGAAAGGAGGAGAAAGAAACAAAGAAAGAATAAAGGAAGGAAAAAAGAAAGAAAGAAGTTAAAATGCTTGAAAGCGGCCATAACATAACATTAATTCGCAGATGACTTATCACTTGTTTAACAAATGATTGCAAATCATCCTGGTTTCTTTTAACACGTCCTTGTGGACGGAGTGGAGAAGTGAGACCCTGGGAACCCGTCTTTCCACTCGTGGGAACCGAAATAAAGTGAGAAAATGAGCGACCATGACTGCTTTTTATGACGTGTGAGACAATAAGGCTCCGCTCACGATAATAAAAAGATAAATAAAACAAAACAAAACACGGGGCGTAAATATCTGTAACAGTCAGCGTGTTTCCGCTGAAGACACGAAGAAACTTGATTTCTAGATGGATTAAACATAAACGTCTGACATCAGAAAACACAAAACGGGCTCCTGGAGCAAAAGGTCGGAGTAAAACGTGCCAGTGGGCCGTGTGAGGGGGATTGTTACACCTGGGTGTTAAGTGTGCACCGCTCTCCCACAACGTCTCCGCTGAAACCGAGCCAGTTGTTCATTTCTCTGCTTTGCTTCCTTCCCTCCTTCCTTTTTTTTTTTTTTTGTTGTTGTTGTTGGCTGTGACACACGTGAGTAGTCCCGATATTACATGCAGACGCTTCGTTTCTCCGCGAACAAAAAGCGGATTTTAAACCAATTAGTTTCCACGCGCTGCAGCGCGAGCGCACTTTGAGGTTTATTTATAGGGCTGGTGTGCGCGTGTCCCGAACATTTAGGCTCGCGCCAGCACTTTCGCCCCGCTTTCACGACGAGTTCAGCGACTAAATGCGGCCCCGTATGATTTTATTCCTGCATCCGGCGTCGGAGCGGGCTTCCAGCCTCGCTGCCATGGCAACCAGCGCTGGTCTCTGGACCGCCACTAATCTCTTCGCTCTTTGATTTCAAACGGAAGTATCGTCGCTTTAAAAGCCATTTAATCTCTGCGGGGCGTCCTGATCCGATCATCCCGGTGTTATCCCCTCACTTCAGGCTGTTATAGGAATCAGAGGAAGTAGGGAGAGACCCTAAATTTATTATCTGAGAGGGGAGCCCTGTTTTAGTTTATTATTATTTTTGTTTTATTTTATGTTACTGACTGGTGGGGACCACTAACCACTCTAAACATGACAATTTTCATAAGATAATTTGGTATGGTGGTAAATTAATTAATACATAAACACCTTTGTGACACCATGAACATTTCCCCTCACCTGACAAATGTTCTGTTCAATGCATGAACACGTAGCTGTGCGTGAAGAAAAACATTTTAAAAGTGCTATTTTTGTTGTTAAAGGGTTTAAAGTTACACAAAGCCTTACCCACATTTTATCAAATTATTAACTGTTGTGTATGTGTATAAAATGTGGATTTTCTTTGCATCCCTCTCCTGACCAACACTTTTGTCCAATCAGATAACTATTATTAATTTATTCCTCATAACTTGTGTACAAACTTAGTTTAAAACTAAATTATGCAAATGTGGAAGAAAGAGGAAAATCCTGCACCAGGACTGCTAAGATATATTTCAGGTTATTTAGTTTCAATAAACTGATTTCAGGTAAATCAAAAAGACTGAAAGCTAAAAACTTGAGTGTGCACACTTCAAAATGCAACAAGGTTTTTTGCAAATTTCTAGCCAGATTTTTGTTGTTGCTGCTGTTTTTCAGTTGAGTTTAATCAAATTACTGATCATAGTTTTAGTTATGTCACAAAAGGACCCAAAAAGCTCAGTAGGGGTATACTGTTGAGATAAACCATGCCAAAATTCAACTCATTTATTGTGTTACTTGTATTTTGTTAGTCAGTTTATGTTTTCACTGTTTCTAGTTTTATTTATGGCAGACAGTAGATCATTGCACCAGACTCGGAGTTCAGGGGTCAGCTGCCTTTTCACAGATTGGTTGTGTTTTCCCCTTGATAAATTAAATCCTAATTTCCTTTTGTTATTTCAATTTTTTTTTTTAATTAATAACCTTTATTTAACCAGGTAAAGAACCTATTTAAGTCAAGGTCTCTTTTACAAGGGTGACCCGGTCAGCAGCACACACTCCAGAAACATAACAAAAACAGTAATTTTAAGTGTGAATTGACATAAATAGTAATTTTGAAAATGTACAGTGGCGGAGATTTAAAAAAAAGATAAAGATAAAGTGCAATAACTGTAAAAAAACACATATATATATATATATATATATATATATATATATATATATATATATATATATATATATATATATACAGTATGCATCATGTATTCATGCTGGTTGTTCATGTCAGATCATTTGTTTAAGTAAAATGAATGTATGAAAGCAAAAAAACTTAAAAAGTACAAATTAACAGGAGGAACATACTTTATATATAGTCACTGCAGTTTTAAAACTTCTTTATTGTTCCTGTCTTTTCTTTGGATTTTAAATGTTTCATCTGTCCACTGCTTAGTAACATATTGAGTAAAAGTCTCTCAGAAATGTAGAAGGTAAAATGTAAAAGGTTTAAAAAGAAATTAGATAAATAATACATGAACTGGAAAAATATAATGTCTAAACTTGAGAAGTGCTTCATCAGCTACAGTATGCCAGGTTTTCAGCAAACAGCTCTTTAAGAATCACTGTGTTGCTTATGAAATACTATTTTTATGTCTGTAAAAAGCTTCCTGATTAAACTGGGATTTTGTGCAAGAGTGCCAAACTGTTTACCAAAAGGATTTGTGCAGGTTCTTATTTTGTTTTGTTCACGTTTAACAAAAAGAGAGAAAAAAATATGAAAGTAGCTTTCCCCACATGTAATGTAATTCACTCAAGTGATTTGAAAAAGGAAATATTTCCATTTGGCTGAAAGAGAAATGTTACAACTTAAAAATACAACATTGCATTTTGTAGGAAGTTGTTTTTATTTTTAGCCAAAGTTAGCTCCTAACTTTTAAGAGAGCAACAGATGAGCATTGAATGCAATTTTCCTAGTTATACTGCTGAAAGAAGACACGACCAAAAAAAAACAAAAAAAACATGCGACCCAAAGCTGAAATAAATGTAATTATATTTTCACGAAAAGTTGCATTTGTATTCCACTTCTGATTACTTTGTGAATTTAACTCCATTCAAACGCAAATGAAAGTCGTCTGTGTGTAAAATGGGCAGGAGGCGTGGCCAACAGCAGAGATATCAACATAAGAATCAATAAAACGAACGTTACGTTCAGTTCATTCAGTTTCCACGAAGCCGGGCAAACACGGAGCATGAAGGCTGTATCGTCGACCGAGACTCCGGAACACAAATCCAGGAGGAAGGTAAGGAGAGCAGACCGTGTTAAACTACTTTATTTTAAGAATACAAACGACAACAACAAATAAGATAAAGTATTTTCCTCTCGGTCCGGAAGGTGTCCAAACCCATGATGGAGAAACGCAGACGGGAGCGAATCAACAGCAGCCTGGAGACCTTACGGCTACTGATGCTGGAAAACACGGAAAACGAGGTACGTGATTTATTTTTAACAGCACTGAGATTTAATGTCGGTAAACTGAGGGCTATTTTGGACGGGGTTCAGTCATTTCGTAGTTTTGGTTGTTTGGTACCAGCCACGAAACGAAGTCGTCTTCTGCGACAAGTTTTGCATCGTCTAGGCAACTGATTTGATCTAAATATGTGTGTGTGTGTGTGTGTGTGTGTGTGTGTGGTCGCCTGTCAGGAAATACAAAGTGACTCCAGTCTAACCTAGTTGTTTCAAAATAGCCCCCTGATTATTTTTAAAAACGGTAAAATTGCAATAGAGGTCAAACATCTAAGAGTAGCAGTTCGTTTCAATCCTTTATGAGACCGTAACTGGTTTAAGTGAATGCTTAATATTTTTGCTCTATTTATTTATACCTGAAACGTATGCCAAAAGTATAAAATTCAGGTCACAAACAGCCAAAGTCTACAAATTCATGATGTCGTTTTCTGACTATATTTTACAAGTGAACACATTTTGATGTACTAAAACTCTGAGGTATTAATGTAAAACATGCATTTTTGTACAGATTGTGAACAAACGTTACTGTGCATTTAAATTAGATTTTTTTATTATTATTATTTACATTCCACAATACTGGAAAAACTACTGATAGTATTTAGTCAATTTTGTGTAGTTTACCATCAACAGATATATTTATTCATGAATTTATTTATTATACATTTGCGCCATTTTAATGCCTAAAGTGGGTCCTGGAGGGCCGGCATCCTGTTTTAGTTCTCTCCCTGGTTTAACACACCTGGATCCAATGATGGCTCGTTAGAAGGCCTAAGAGAAACATTGACAAGCTGAGGAGGTTGTTACTACCAGCAGGAAGAGAACTAAAACATGCAGGATGGAGGACCGACTTTAGGCACCCCTGGTCTAGTGTGAAAACAATACATGTTTAACTGTAAATTTTAGCTGTAAATCAACTATTTATGTTCATATACAGTTAAATTCACTCATAATTAGATCTTTTTTGTGTCTGTATTTAGAATAAATCAAAAATACCCAACTACATATAAACTGACACACAAAGTATTAAGTGCAAATTGTTTTCTTCAAAGTAGGAAGTAATGAAACAAAGGCTGAATGGGACGTGACAGTAACGTGACTTAGCAACAGGATGAATTGACCTGGAGCCATTTAAAAAAATAATAATAATAATTTTAAGTGATTTTTTTTCTTTTCCTCTCACGTTTCTTCTGCTGCAGAAGCTGAAGAACCCGAAGGTGGAGAAGGCAGAGATCCTGGAGAGTGTAGTTGACTTCCTGAAGAAGGAGAAGGACCACCGGGCCGTGAGGAAGGCATTTCCCGAGGAGCAGCGGCCCGCCGCCAGCCCCCACCGCAGCTACCACGACGGCATGAGGTCCTGCCTGCTGCGGGTCAGCCAGTTCATCGCCTCCAAGAGCCTGGAGCTGGAGGAGGGCAACGCGCTGCAGGCCTCGCTGAAGCTCTTGGGGTCTCCAACGGCCGTTTCCTCCCCGGTCCCAGTCCCGGTCCCGCTCTGTACGTCCCCAGTGGTTGCCCCCGGTGACGTCCCGGCCGTCCTGTCCCCTCAGCGCCACGTCTTACAGGAGTCCGAAACCAGGCAGATGCTCTCCTTCGCCTCCTCCGCAACAGTCCCCGATCCAGTCTGGAGACCCTGGCCGAAATAACAGAGACGTCGACAGATGTCTTTTTTTTTTTGTATTTCTATTTGTACAGCATGGACACTTTTCTGCACAGATCTTCTGTAGTTTTCATGCATTTCCCCCTACCTCCCTTTTTTATGTACCTATGTAAACCAGGGATGCACCAATCCACTTTTTCTTAACTTCTGATACCGATACCTGAGGCTTGGTGTCTGCTGATACCGATCCACCGCACAGAAACGGAGCTGGATTGACTTTAAACGTTTATTTTATTTTATTTTTTTAACTGCAGTCATAAATGTACTGGATTACAAAATGTATTTGATAAATCTGCTGCAGCACAACACTCATAAATAGCTTCACAAGTTTGGTCAGACATGTTAAAAACAACAAAATTGTAATTTGTTCAGTACTTTCAATTTGGAGCAGAACAGCCCATTTAAAATGAATGATAAAGAAACTGACAAAAAACAAAAGGTTCACTGTTTTGGTCAAACATGTAAGAAAATAAAATGGAACAAACGTTATTTCAGATGGTTCAGAAAATGGGAACATAAACATATTAGCATATTAGCACAGCATAGATCTGCCTTTATTGATCACATTGTCACCAATTCCTGATCTAGATTGTTTTTCAAGAAAATGACCAATAAAGATATTAATGTCAGTGAATTTCTAATGTAAATTTTTCAAGCTGTAGTTTTTATTGTGCGTTTTCTTGCACAGTGGCTCCTAACCTGTGCATAAAGGGTCTTTCTTTACTCTGTGTAGCACACCGGGGGGTTGGTGTGGTGTTGCTTTGCTCCTACACACACACACACACACACGCGCACACACACATCAGCAGAGTGTTTTCATGATCGTCCTCAGTTTCCTGGCCCTTCCTCCAGAGTGGCCTCTCGGCTCGTTGAGTCGTTTTGCCTTGAAGGTTCCTGCGGCTGCACTTTGAGAGCAGAGGAGAAGCCTCCAGAGGAACATTAACACATACTCCATCCAGATTGGACAGCAGTTATGATGCCTATTGACATGGTGATGGGAGAGCCGTCGTCTCTACATGGTGTTCGGACGACTTCGGACGACCTTTTTCACATGTAGAGTGGGAGAGGATTGCAGTGATTCGCGCGTGTTCAGAGAGCAGACCGCTTTGGCAGCATCTAATCCACAGCTGGGCGTAAACGCCGCTGTAAGGTCGTCTCACAGTGAAACTCACTCCTTTTGTCAAATAAAATGGATTTTGGGCCACAAAGTTTGTCCTGTTAATTCCTGTCTAGGTGCACAGGATCTGGAATCAGTGCTGGCAAGTAAACTAATGTATCATCACATTCCTAAGCTAACAGCTTATGTCTTTTTTTTTGCCAAAAGTGATTTTTTTTTTCCAAAGTAATTTTTTGGCAAAAAAAAAAAGTGACATGATTTTATTTTATTTTTGCCATATCTCGCTGAGCTTTTACTTAACTACAATGTTTAAACTTCTTAAACATTCCAGTCATGTAACAAATATTAATATAATGCTTAATTAGAATCATTACTATTTTGGATCTGGTTTATAGCTATTTTATGTGATTTAAAAACAGCAGTGCACAATTGTGAACTGGAAGGAAAAGGATTAAAATATGAAAAGTGTGTGTTTTTTATAAGGACGTGGCCACACCAGCCCAATAAGCTAAAAAAAAAAAAAAAAAAAGGCAATTTTATTTGTTTACTTTGTCTATAGTTAATTTGTAATTACTTACTGGGTTTTATGTACATGTTTTATTTGAAGAAATTACTCTGTATGCCTTTCTGTCACATGAACATGATTATCTGGTGCTAGCCAGCATTTTTCTGGAGGGTCCCATGGCCCCCCAGACCCTCCTTGGCATCGCCTCTGTCAACAGAATAACTATCAGTAATACTCTTCACTGATCTGTCTTTTCATAGAAGTGTGACCAGAAGAAACCTATTGGCTCAATTTGCACTGAACACATTAAACACGTGGCGGAATGTGCTCCTGTACACATAATAACACTAAATGTGAGTTTTTTTAGTCTAAATGCAAAACATAACGTGTGATGGAAAACTACCAGCACTACATGCTGTGAGGATTCCTTTCTTCAGCAATGAGAGGAGCTAAATGCCGGGCAATCCTGGAGGAAAACCGAGGCTGTGAAAGGCCTGAGACTGGGTGGGGGTCTTCAGCTTCCAGCAGTCCTAAACACTCAGCCAGAGCTGCAACACAACGGCTCAGATCAAAGCATATTTATGTGTTAGAACGGCCCAGTCAAAGTCCAGACCTGAGATCTACTCAAATGAAAGACGGGGAGAGACACCCCTTCGGAAACCTTCCAGTTGTGATGGAAATGAAAGTTTGCAAAGCGTTAGTGGGTCTGAATACAAGACATGGCTCACATTACAAATTCATTCACCTAAAACAAAATAAAGAAATAAAACTGAATCAATGTTCATCATTGTTTTTTTGTTGTTGTTTTTAGAAAATATGTACTTTTATGAGTATTTTTACTAGGCTGGCCTTTTTACTTTTACTTGAATAATTTTACTATGAAGTATTTTACTTGAGTAAAATTTCTAGATTCTCTACCTGCTGAATGGATAACAAATTTAACCAAAAATTCATCAGAAAAAGACACACATCTGGAGTTTTTGCTAAATTTTCATACTTTTCTTTGACCGGAACTGATTTGGAAACATAATCTTTTGCCTGATTTTGTTATGTTTTGCTTGATATATGAATTATTGTCATTTTGGTCCATAAAATACCAATATTTCAACTTAACTTTATTCCGTTTGTTGATGTAATTTTTAAATACTAAATGATTAATACTCTGATGAGTTACTCAGTACTTGTCTAGACTTTTTACCAAATGCTTTTTTACACTTACTTGAGTAATTTCTTAGACGGCTACTTCTCACTTTTACTTTGATAAAAATATGTTGAACTTGTGCTAATCTTACTTGAGTCTAATTCTTGGCCCTCCTTTGGTTAAATATAAAGTCTTGTTTTGCAGAATTGTTTGTCTGGATGCAAATCTGTCCTGATGCTGCGCATTTTAAAGAGGAACCAGTCACTGCTTTAGCTACGACCCCATTCGTTAGCAATAAAAGGCAAAGTGGGAAACATCTTACTAAGTACGAATTTATTTTTGACCGTGGGCTGCAGAACATGTTTCTGTGTGTTTTGATTATTTCTTTTTACAAGCGTTTGGCTGTGTTTAAATCAGCTGTATGGAATGTGGCCTTGTTGTACTTTGGACAAAATTATATTTTTATTTAAGTCAACTGACTTAAATAAAAGTCTTTTAAACTAAACAGAGTGTGCATTGTTTTCTGTAAAACTGACTCCTGTTTGATTTTTATTTGAATTTGTTCCTATTTTCCGGCGTAAACATCCCTCAGAATTTCAGGTTTTATTGTTTTCCACTAGGTGGAGATATTTTTCCAAACTGCAAATTACTACTGACTTGTACGTAAGGGACAGAATTGACTTTTTAAAGTGTAAAAAAAAATAAAAAAATAAAAAATAGAAAATTCAAATGTATTTCTTTGTTTTAAGGGATGAATTTAATAATAGATTTCAATGCTGATATTTAAAATGTTTTTTTTTTTTTTTTAAGTCCACGAGTGTTGGAAAAACAAAAGATTATTAATCCAGTTTGGATTAAAAACCAAACTAGTCAACACACTGAAACCATAAAAGCAAGCAAATGTTGCGCTAATAGTGGAAATAACACATTTAAGGTAAATATTCCTTAGAAATCCCCATTCATCATCCAGAGGCTTTTTTTTAGTTGTTTTTGGGTGGATGGATGCGTCTAAATCCTGAAAACAATCCGCATCCAAAGAGGTGTTAGTCCCGCTGGGATGACCGCCGGACAGGATGCTCTTTTGTGCGCCTGGCAGCTTTAAGCCGAAAAAAGAAAAGACCACACAGGACTAAAGTGAATCAATTAAAGCTGGAATCAGATTAGGGTTTTCATTAGGGCAGGAATTAGCTTAAACGCGGATTAAACCGGCCCAATAGAACCATTTAAACAAAACCAAAAGGTGTTAATACAGCTGAATCTTTAGGAGCAGATGTCCTAAGTGTTACACTGGTTCCCAGTTGGTTCCAACAAGTGTTTGATGGTTCCCACAGCAGACAGAAGGCAATACAGGAAAAGTGACCTAACACCTTTTGGCTGAAGCAAAACCACCTGAGGCTTTAGGTTCCCACGCTCTGCTTCTCTGTTTGAATACATCAACACCAAACAAAGTCCTGTCCACCGAGCTGCTTCATCTGGACGCGATTAAAAATAGCTTTCATTACTCAATATATTTTCAGGGACAAAATAAGTCACGTATGTAGTGTCATACTGAGATGGCTATCGCCGCTAAATCCAGTTAAAACATACAAGAACCAACCAGAAGAGACTTTCTCAAGACTTTCCGGATTTCTGTCGTTGAAGACGCGTGAGCCAAATGGAGAAAAAACAATGGACACGTGTCGGTTGTCTTTACAGGCCCTCGCTGGGCTCGCGCGCTACAAAAACGCCGCACCTGAAGGTGAGAACTGCTCTGCTGTTCCACGTGCGCCACTGTTAACGGCTCGTGCAGGAAAACACGGTAATGACGCAGTATTATTTTTAGTCGGAAGTCTGTGTGGCCTGAAAAACTAACATAGACAAGCTAACAAAACCTTCTGGGATGTTTAGTTGAAGAAAGTCTTATTTTTTTTCGTCTTTATTACCGTAAAAACTCGTTTTAAATGATGTTATGACCGACTATTTCTGTCTAAATGTTAATAGGAGGGCTAACATTTTCTCCCTTAGTATTACAATAATTGTTTATATTGTGCATAATTTAAACATTTACAATAAACACACAGGGAAATGGAAAACAAATGTTTATTAGTAACATCAGAACAGTCACAGTAAGAACATTGCAAATTAACGACAAGGTACAAGCAGAATTTCCTCAGCTCCTGAAACAGGTTTACATTGTGTTATTGTCCCTCGGCTGGGTGTTCAGCATGCTTGAAATGTAATCATACTTTTCCAGGAGTGAGGCCTTGGGCTTTCTGCAGGTCCTGCTGTAAACTGGTCAGGACCTCTCGCTGCTGTTCAGATTTCTTGTGATAGTCCTTAAGGAGCGTCTCGTATCTCTGACTGCAATGGAGCAGGAAGGAAAGGGTTGTTAGGTAAGAACAGACCAAATGCGCCTAACCAGGGTTGATACAGAAGAAAACCTTGAGACTTAAAGAGACATTCAGAACAAGCAGGTTGTCAATACGGTTTGTTGACTTACTTTATATAAATATTCTTATTGTGGGAAAGTAGGAAGGACCATGAAAAGATGTTTCACACAACAAACAACTTAAACCCAGCTGATCTCCTTGTTTAACAGTCAACCTGCTATTTTACTTATTTACCAAATGTTTAGTCATTCTCCTCAGTATCATAGGTAATCTCAAAATTAATTCTGAATAAAGTGCAAGTTTCACTGGCTTTGTGAGATTAAGAACAACAGAAGTGATTTAAATAGCAAAGAGTAACTTCTTTATAGAAACACTGTTGGGAATAATTCCAATGAAAATCTTGTAACCTGGTTGTATTTCCCTTTTGTTATAATTACACAAGATGTCTTTTTTTGGTTATTTTTATAGTTTCTTACCTGACTGAAACACCTCTAAAAAAACTCTGTCATTGCTTT